ACTGCTTTCCAAAGTGGTTGTATAAGTGTACATTCCCACCAGCAGTGTAATAGGGTTCCTCTTTCTCCACATCCCCTCCAGCATTTGTCGTTGGTCTGTACAGTATTTCTACAATAAAGAACATATTTAAAAAAATTTCTCTTTATGTTTCTAATTTTATCCCCTATTTAAAAAATAAGATAAGGGGCTGGGAAGGTGTCTCAGTGGTAGAACGCTTGCCTTGCATGCATAAGGCCCTGGGTTTGATTCCTCAACACCACATAAACAGAAAACGCTGGAAGTGGTGCTGTGGCTCAAGTGGTAGAGCGCTAGCCTTGAGCTAAAGAGCTGAGGGACAGCGCCCAGGCCCAGAGTTCAGGCCCCACAACCCACACTAATAATAATAATAATGGTGGACTGCAACTGGAGTCCCAGCTCAGAGAACTTGAGGTGGAAGAATCGTGAGCCCTAGCTGGGCGCTGGTGGCTCACACCTGTAATCCTAGCTACTCAGGAGGCTGAGATCTGAGGATCACGGTTCAAAGCCAGCTCAGGCAGGAAACACTGTGAGACTCCTATCTCCAACAAACCACCAGAAAACCGGAAGTGGCGCTGTAGCTCAAGTGGTAGAGTGCTCGCCTTGAGTTGAAGAGCTGAAGGACAATGCCCAGGCCCAGAGTTCAAGCCCCACGACCGACAAAAAAAAAAAAGAATCATGAGCCCAGAAATAGTCTCAAAAAATATTTTAATAAAGCTGGTACAAAAAAAAAAAGGCCGGCACTGGTGGCTCACATCTGTAATCCTACCCACTCAGGAGGCTGAGAGCTGAGGATCGAGGTTCAAAGCCAGCCCGGGCAGGAAAATCTGTGAGACTCATCTCCAATAAACCACCAGAAAACCGAAGTGGTGCCATGATCAAGTGGTAGAGCACTCGCTTTGAGCTGAAGAGCTGAGCGACAGCGCCCAGGCCCAGAGTTCAAGCCCCACAACCAACAAAAAAGAAAAAGAAAAGACAAGTCATAAATTTAAATAAAGCTTTTTTTTGCTGTAATTTTTTGGAGGGGGCGGGGAGAGGGGTCAGTCGTGAGGCTTGAACTTGGGGCCTGGGCGCTGTCCTAAGCTCTTTTGTTCAAAGCCAGTACTCTACCATTTTTGAGCCATACAGCCACTTCCGGTTTCCTGGTGGTTAATTGGAGATCAGAATCTCAGGGACTTTCCTGCCCAGCTGGCTTTAAACCGTGACCCACAGATCTCAGCCTCCTGAGTAACTAGGATTACAGGCGTGAGCCACAGGCGCCTGGCTTCTGTTTGTTTTAAGGTCCTATTCTCAAGGAATATACAGACTTATATACTAAAAGAAGTAGGTTTCAGGGGTTGGAGGCGTGGCTCAGTTGGTAGAAGGATAGCCAATGGGCGAAAAGTGTCAGGAATCGAGTTCCATACCCGGTCTGGGACCAAGAAAGAAATAAGCCGCTTCAAAGCACTACCAAAACTCAGAATATTTAAGTGCACGAAATCTACACAGACATGTGTAACTCACGTCTTGCTTACTATCGTGAGACTCAGAAACGACGACGTGAGGTCAGTCGGGAGCGGTTACCGCCGGCCTGACTCTCGCCGTCTGTCTTCCTCCACGAGAGAGAGGGAGGGGAGCAGGCAAGGATCGGAGGAAGACACGTCCCGGCGCTCAAGAACCGAAAAGGTGGAGAACCATGACAACCGGAGTCTTCACGCAAACTAGGACTAACTCTGACTCCAGGGAAACAGGCGGGTGGTTGGCGTTGGGGGACCCGAATGCCTGCGTGGCCGTGACTCGGGGCGGCTGGGTAAGCAGAGCCCGCTCAAGGTCCCGGCGCCATCCCTGCAGCGACCAACCTTCCCACCGGGCGCCTTTTCCCAAGGACCCGTACCCAGCCAGAACCAGTCCCCCCCCCCTTTTACTTCGGATGCCAACTCACCGACTCAGCCGCCGCTTCCTGCTGGTCCACCGCCAGGGCCCACGAGTCCGTGGCCATGGTCCCGGGCGCGGGTGGGGCGCTGGCGGCCTCGCCCGCGGTGCGAACGTGGGCTCCTGGGGGTGGCACTGCGCAGGGACCCGGCTCGGGAGCGGGGGGGGGGGGCACATTAGTTGCGGCGCTAGGGGACCGGAAGCGGCGCGCCGCGATGACGCCCGAGTCGCCGCAAGTACTGCCGCCCCGCCCCCTTTGGGCCCTCCCTCACCCCAGCCCCGGGTATGCTGTCACCTTAAAATACTTAGGCTCGGGTTAACTGGCCTTACGATCCAAAGAAGAAAAATGATATTCCTGCCCAGCACAGTAGGATAGAAGACGTTCCTACACCATGGATCTATCGAACAAAACCATTACAGAGGGTCCAAAGCATAAGCAAGCAGACTGTCCTGCCGGCATTTTCCTGCAACTTAAGAAGGAATTCCAACTCTGATTTACCAAGCATTCCATGAAATCAAGTTTATCTCAAGCTATGGTGGACAGATGAAGGTGTGTACAGGAAGAAAAAGGCAAAGACAGCTTGCGAACCATGACATAGGTAAACTCAAATCCAAAGCAACCCGGGAGCCGAAGGTCCGTGAGACTCATCTCCAATTAACCACCAGAAAACCGGAAGTGGCGCTGTGGCGCAGGCCCTGAGTTCAAGCCCCATGACCGACCCAACACAAAAATCATTAGGATTCTAGACTCTCCTACGTCCACCCCCAACATACACGAGTAAATGTGAGATGCCGGTTAAGAACAAACCTGGTATCCAAAGTACAGGGGTGGAGAAATGAGTATTATGGGAAGTAAGGACAGCAGACTCAAATTCAAACCTCTCCCACGTGGCCATAGCAGCCTGTTTTCCTCGGAAATAATCCTAAGTATCCACCTCCACGTTAGAGGATTGTTCAAAACGGCAACGGCCTCGGGTTCAGGGCGATGGCGGCGACATAGCACTAGCTATTATTATTTTTCCCTCCTCTCCTCCCTCAATACACACCCCCGTAGGGGCAAGACAGACTCCCAAACGAAGGAAAAACAGAGTTTACATCTTCCCCCAAGATACTCACGCCGCCCACGGGCAGGGAGAGTGCAAACAGCCCCCGGGATCGGCCTCGGACATGGCCAGCAGCCCCAGCCATCGCAACTCAACATGGCGGTTACACTCTCCCAACGGCCGCTCACTGTTCAGGCCAAGCCGCAACCTCATTGGGTGAGGTATGGAAGCCAGTCCTGTCCAGCCAATCAAATGAGGGGAAGTGGGGAGACAATACTTGCGCATGCGCACCAAGGAACTTTGGAAGCAAAACTCCAGCGCTACTATCCAGCTGAGGGCGGCTTGAGGGGCAGACCTTTGTCCTTTGGTTGTGAGTGGTGGCCATCAGTGGGAAGTTCCATGCGGGCTTGACCCTGCCTGGTTTTTATTTTTTACTTTTTAAAATGTATTTTCATTTTTGCCAGTCCTGGGGCTTGAACACAGGGCTTGGACACCGTCCCCAAGCTTCTTTTGCTTAAGGCTAGCGCTCCCTCTACCATGTGAGCCACAACGCCACTTCTGGCTTTTTCTATTCATGTGGTACTGAGGAAGTGAACCCAGGCCAGGGCCTCATGCATACAAGGCAAGCACTCTACCATTGAACCACCTTCCCAGCCCGGAAAGGATGCATTTTCATTGGCTATTTATTCACCAAGTATGTAACTACTACGGTGTTAGTCCTTAGGATCAACATTTCAAAAAACAGGCAGGGCGACTGGGGAGGTGGCTTAGTGGTAGAGCGCTTGCCTAGCATGCATGAGGTTCGATTCCTCAGTACTACATAAACAGAAAAAGTTGGAAGTGGCATTGTGGTTCAAGTGGTAGAGCGCTAGCCTTGAGCTGAAGAGCTGAGGGACTGCGCCCAGACCCAGAGTTCATGCACCAAGACCAACAAAAAAGAAAAAGAAAATGCATCCTTCAGGTAGGAGGGGAAGGGACCTTGCCTAATCCGCTAGAGGCCCTGTATTCTATCAACAGTAATCAAAGTTTAGTGGGGTTAGGGAGGAATAGACAGAGCAACAGTAACTCATTTTAAGATTATTGTGATCAAATGCTAGAGAAACACCTAAGCTACATACACATCAAAAAAGAAAAGAAAGAAAATATAAAAAAAACTTAGACCAGTGCTTGCTGTATACTAAGCACTCAAAAAAAAATAATTGAGCTGGGCTGGGAAGGTGGCCAATGGTAGAGTGCCTTGCATGCAATGAGGCTCTGAGTTCAATTCTTCAGCACCATAAGCAGAAAAAGCCAAAAGTGGTGCTGTGGCTCAAGTGGTAGAGTGCTCGCCTTGAGCAAAAGAGTTTAGGGATAGCGCCCAGGACCCAGAGTTCAAGTCCCAAGAAGTGCCAAAAAGAAACGAAAGGAACAAAGGAAAGAAGGAAGGAAAGAAAGTTCTGCATAGCATTTAGCTTTAACTATAAAGAGAACTAAACCAAGACTTGTGACCTCTACTAAACTCATGGTCCATCCCTCTTGATAACTGCTCAATAAGAGCGACTTTGCAAAAGGAAAAGGTAAAATTCTGGTCTTCAAAGCCAAGATCCAGAAGAAACTCGTGACACACCACGTCTCGTCTTTCCTAGTCATTGCATCAGCCTAATCCAGCTGCCTTCCCAGAAACCAATCAGGAAATTGATTCGCGCTCGGGTTGATTGACATGTACAATAACCAATAGCCTATGGCTATGCTAAGGCGTCGCGGGTCACTTTCCATCTGCGGGCTCTGATTAGATGAAACAGTGCAGATTACTTGCCGGTGACTGTCGTAGGCGGGTACAGCTGCGCGCATGCGCCTTTGCGCGGTCAAAGAGGAGAAGTGCTAACTGTGGGCGCCTGGCCGGTGCGCACGGCGAGTGGTTCGGGACCAGGACCCCAGGGAGAAGCGGGTGAGCCTCGGGAACTGCGGCGTGGCGAGAGGAGCCTGGGGCCTGGGAGGAAAGGGGCGGCCGCTGCAGCAGGGCCCCGGGCCATCTCGCCGGGCCCAGGGAAGCCAGGCCTGGGCTGGAGGGGGAATTTGAGAATGGTGGGCTGGGTTGTTTGGTTGATTGGTTGTTTTGCGGGGGAGGAGGAGGGAGGGACGGGGTCCCTTAGAGCGCTGGAGGTGAGTCGGTCTCGGTGGGTTTGTTGAGGACAAAGCAAGAACTTGGAAAGATCACAGTTGCCATCATGTAGTCGCCTAAAGCTAAGGTTTTATCTTCCCTGACTTTAATCGTCTAGAGGGCTAGGCCTGGGGCTGGGTGGTCCCGACGGATGGAGTCCTGCCGGAAGCCATCCTCTCAATTATTATTATTTTGTTGTTGTTGTTTGTCGTGGGGCTTGAACTCTGGCCTGGTGCTGTCCCTCAGCTCTTCAGCTCAAGGCTGGTGCTCTACCACTTGGGCCACAGCGCCACTTTAGGTTTTCTGAGTGGTTAATTGGAGATAAGAGCCTCACGGAGATTCCTGCCCGGACTGGCTTTGAACCGTGATCCTCAGATCTCAGCCTCCTAAGTAGCTAGGATTCCAGGCATGAGCCAAGGGCGCCTGGCTCTGTCAATTCTTAAAGAATAGTATACTGTGAACCTGGAGGGTCATGTTCAGCTGGTGTGTGTATGAGTGTGTGTTTGATTCAAGGCCTGGAGCTGTCCCTTAGCTTTTTCATTCAGGGCTGTTGAAGTAGAGTCACAACTCTACTTCAGTTTTTTTGGTGGTTAATTGGAGTTAAGAATCTCATGGCCCACGGGCTGGGAAGGTGGCTTAGTGGTAGAGCGCTTGCCTTGCAAGCATGAGGCCCTGGGTTCGATTCCTCAGCACCACATAAGCAAAAAGAAAAAAGCCGGAAGTGGCGCTGTGGCTCAAGTGGTAGAGCGCTAGCCTTGAGCT